TGAAAGTTGATTGCCCCCAAAGTCCTAGTTGCTAGGGATGAGGAGGATGCTGCCTGCCATGATCTGGAGCCAGCAGTCTTCCCTTAGGAGCAGGTGTGTGCTCCAAAGTTCATTGAAAATGGACTGTGGCTTCATTTCTAAGAAATAGTATATGTATTAAATGGTGTTTGGGTTCTTAGGCTGGCCACAGTAAAGCATTTAATGGCCTTTGCTTGTTTCTTCCCAGTCCTTGGGCCCTACTTGATGAGGGACTTCTTTAGCCAAAGCAACTATTTGTAAGGTACCTCCTGTGAACTGTAATTTGGGCCTGTTGACTACAGGCCAGCATAGGGTACTCCCAAGATAAAGGAATTTTGGAGGTGAAGATTTTCTGGTTGTGCTTTCTCTTTTTCCTGGAAAAACTTCAAAAATGTCTGTCCTCTTCCTACTGTGCCTGCTTTTTGTCTTGCTTTGCTTTGTCTCACTTGGCATGTGTGACATGTAACTCAGTGTGGAAACACTTACTAGAATGTTGACTTTATTTAATAACTGACTAATCAGACACCCTCATAACTATTTCTAGGAAAGAAATAGGGCTTCCTGAGAACTCAGCAGCTCCCCAGAATGTCCTTCCCTAGCACACTTCCTGCCTGATCCACTGTAACCATCATTGTTCCTTTATAGAGATAATTTTTGGCTTTCCGTGTACTTTTACCACCTAATAATATATCTCCAGTTTTATTTCCTTTGCAATTTTACATAAATGAAATCATACAAATCGTGTTTATGTGTATCTTGTTTTGCTCAGTGTATTTTAGAGATTCATCTGTGTTATCATATAAAGATGCAGTTCATTTTTGTTGTTATGTGGTATTCCATTGTATTTGTTTTCTAGGGTTGCTATCACAAATACCAAAGGTTAGTTGGATTAAACAACAGAAATTAACTTGCTCACAGTTCTGGAGGCCCAAAAGTAACAAATCAAGGTGTTACTGAACCCAGGTATGAAGGTTCATCCCACAGAAACTCACTCTCTGAGAGATGAGTGTTGGGGATAAAGAAAAGCTTTATGTAGCCATTGAAGGATGGAGAAGAGGATGCTTTTCTTACAAATCAGCTTCTCTATTTCAGGGGGCTGCAGGGTGACAGATACAGGGACAGAATGATGAAGGAGAGAGGTGGCAAAGGGAGGAGTGCTTTTGCTCTTTTGGGGGATAGGTGGAGATCTTCCAGGAACTTAGGCGCCACCTCTTTCCATTCCTTTTGTGGTCTGGTCATCATGACGCTACCTTGAAGGAGGACAAGAGACTAGGCAAGTCCAGGTCAAGTTAACCCTGAATTATAGTTCTCAACAAAACATTTCTCAGATAATCACCATTTCTACTTGCAGAGATGAGTAGAATCTGCCCAAAGGGTAAGACAGCAAAGGGACAGGCACAGGATGAAGCAGAGATGCCAAGCCTCTTCATCCTTTTCTGCTTACCTTCAGACATCTGCAGACCCAAGAGAAAAGACAGTATTTCCTTCAGCAGTAGGCTTCAAGTCCCTGCAAGGCAGCCTAAGCAGTTGTCATAACCCCAGGGGAGAAATATTCTACAGCAGCGCTGCTGTGGAGTAACTAACAGTGCATTGCCCAGCTGTGTGTCCTCCAGAATTAGTGACCTTAAGTCAACTGAGCAAGTGAAGCTAAAGGGCTTATTTAGGTTTTTCCTTAACAACAAAGGTGTGTGTAGACAGAGGACACCTCTCTCTGCCTGAAAAATGGTCATATTCCTCTGGTGTCTTCATGTGGCCCTCACCCTAGTTCTATCTGTGTCCTCATTTCTCTTCAGAAGAACATCAGTCATATTGGGTTAGGGCCTACCCATATGACTTTCATTTTAACTTAATTACCTTTTTGGCAGTTTCTATCACCAAATACAGTCATATTCCAAAGGACTTTGGGTTAGGACTTCAGCCTAAGAATTTGGGGGGTAAAGCCAGGTGTGATGGTGCATGCCTTTAAATCCCAGCATTCAGGAAGCAGTAGCAGGTAGAGAGAGAGAGCTCTGTGAGTTAAAGGCCAGCCTGGTCTACATAGTGAGTTCCAGGCCAGCTGGGGCTACAGGGAGACCATGTCTCAAAAAGACCGAAAAAAAAAAAAAAAAAAAAGAATTTTGGAGGACATCATTCAGCCTGTACACAATTTATTCATCACGGTATTGGTAGGTGTTTGGATTTGTTCCCATTATAGGTTATTATGAAGGACAGCAATATGAACATTCTTATTTACATAATGATGAAAATGCCTGAGTTTCTTTAGGCCAGAATGAAACATTTCCTCATCTTAAGAGTAAAACAGGGTTGGAGGGAGGGGTCATGCTGCATGGCTGTAATACAGCATTAATAGATAAATCCAGTATGTTTTCCAAAAGTACTTGTTCCAGTTCATGCTCCCATTGTGTTTTTATAGAATCTGGCTGGTTCCAGACTTTTAAACTAAATTTTATTTTGTGTGTGTGGGTGTATGAGTGGGGTGTTTGTGCATGAGTGTTATTTTTGTTAGCATATGTGTGTCATGTGTGTGTATAGGCCTTAAACTAGTGTTGGGTGTCTTTCTTGATTGCTCTTCATTTACTGAGGCACAGTCTCTCATAGAACCTGGAGCTCACTAGTCCAGCCAAGCTAGTGTAGCCAGCCAGCTTACTCTGCAGATCCCATCTCTGTCTCCTGAGTGTTGGGATCACAGGCAGCTGCCATGCCTGTCCTGGTATCATGCTTTTTTTCATTTTAAAATATTTTATTTTTATTTTTTATGTGTATGGGTGTATTACCACCATGTGTGTAAGTGCACATATGTCATGCAGTGCCCCACAGAGGCCAGAAGAGGGCATAGAATCCTCTGGAACAGGAGTTAACAGATTGTTGTTAGCCTCCATGTGGATTCAGGTATTTGAACCTGGATCCTCTGCAAGAGCAGTCAGTGCTCTTAACCACTGAGCCATCTCTCCAGCTCTAGTGCCATGCTTTTTAGTTCACACCATTTAGTTAGTGTGCAGGTCTGTCTCGTTGTGCTTTAAGTGGTATTTCATCTATTAGCGAAGAATTTGACCATTGCTCTTATATATTGGTCATTTGGGTTGTGATGTAGCTCTTCAAGCCTAAGCTTCTGTTAAGTAGCTTGACTTTTTCCTTTATTTATTTTTGAGACAGGGTCTCCCTGTAGTTCTAGCTGGCCTGGACCTTGCTATGTAGACCAGACTAGCCTCAATCTTACACATCTACCTGCTTCTCCCTTCCAAGTGCTGAGATCAAAGGCTGTACATCACCATGCCCAGCCTGCCTGACTTTTTCCTTGAGTTTTTTTTTAATATTCTGTGAATACAAGTCATATATATTTTAAATATCTTCTCTATATCTATAACTTGTCTGTTTTAACTATATTAGTAGTATCTTGTGATGAATAGAAGTTCCTAATTTAAATGCAAACAGCATATCAATCTTTTCCTTTGTACTTGATTTTGCATGGTATGTTTGTGTGTGTGTGTGTGTGTGTGTGTGTGTGTGTGTGTGTGTGTGTGTGTGTGTGTATGCACTCATGCATGCACCTCTGGCAACCAGAGGTTGATGTTGAGTGTCTTCCTCTGGCACTCTCCACTTTATGTATGTATGTATGTATGTATGAATGTATGTATGTATGTATTTTCAATTCCTTTTTTATTTCAGCCTGAGCTTTCTTTAATATTTCTATCTTTTGTGAATTTACTTTTTAAATCCCGACCTCTCTTGTTTTTCAGTAAGTCTTATAAATGGATAAGAGCAAGTCTTCTGATCTTGCTGTTGCTTCGAGAGTGCCTTAGTGGTTCTTGGTACATTCCATTTCCATAAACATTTTTTTTAATCTGACTGTCAGGCTCTACAAATGGACCTCTTTGGACATTTATAGAAATGCTTTGGTGTTATGAATTGAGGGAGAGTTGTCAGTGTCATGAAAGACAAAACAAATAAAAAATAAACATGTAGGAAATGCTTTAGATGAAAGAAGACAGACATGCAACTAAATGCAGTATGTGATGGTTTATAAAAGTAACGAAGACCTGGGGCACAGAGATTTTATTTGAGTTATGTTTTAGGTAACACTAATGTACTATTATTGTTTCTGATAATGGTGAAAATTATGTATATATGCCTTTTTTCTTAGAAGATAAATGCTCAAGAAATTTATAGGTATGTTTCCTCCAGCTGTTTCTAAATTCACAAAGTATACGTTTAAGGGAGAGGCAGGAAGCTAGATTAGATAATTCGAGAGTGTCAACAATTGGTGAATTTTGATTAAAAGTAAATTATTCCTTCTGTACACTTAAATTTTATGAAAATATCAGTTGAACAAAGTTAAATTTATTTTGTATCTTGGAAAATAGCAGAGAACCAGATAAATGAATTATGTTCTATCTCAGTGTGTTGCTTTAGGCAGATCCACCATTAAGAACAGCAGTGCCTTGTCAGGTGGTTCAGTAGTAGAACACTTATTCCCAGCACTGGGAGAGGAAATCACCTGGAAACAGCAAGCCTCTCTCAGCTGTCTCTCCAAGTACAGTTTATTAATGTGTCTTTTGTGCCAATCCCGAGTTTTAGGAATTTTTCTGAGCTACTGATGGGACTTCTGCCATTTTCTGTCATACTGAGCAGTGTTTTCATGAGAGCCATACCCCACACAGTCCAGTTTGATAAGACTAGGCCGACTCTTCTTTCAGTTAGAAACAGGTTTGGTGGGTGAGTGCACTAGTGTTCAGATTCTAGAAGAGTTCAGCTCTTTGGTTCTTATAGCAGGCACCTTGCAGTCTACAAGGAAAACTGAACTGGTTCAGTTTTCAGTGACCTCTCACTGCAAATGGATGTACTCCATGTGTTATGTGACGAATTCAGTGTGCTGGTAGACTCGCAGTTGTTGATTCTTTTTTTGCATTGCTCTTTTCCTGTATGTTAATATGTGATTCCTCAGTAAAATAATTAGTAAATTTATGCACAACATCTAACAACAGAAAATCTTCTGACAGCAAAAGGAAGGGCCGAGCTGCTGAAGATTAATCTTCGAGAGGTGGAATTGGATCCCGATATTCAACTGGAAGACATCGCGGAGAAGATTGAGGGCTATTCTGGTGCTGACATAACTAATGTCTGCAGGTTTGTCTTAGTGGCCTGTGGTCCCAGACACTAGCTGTGGGTTTGCAGGAGGACTGGTCTTGGAGCTGGTAGACTTAGCCCCTCATTTTGAAAGCAACCAGCTTTTCCTTGAAATGCTTTCCCATCTGTAAACTGCATTTTCTTTTTTTAAAAAAAATATTTTATTGATTTTTTTTATTTTATGTGTATGAGTATGTGTATGAGTATGTGCCTATATGTATGTAAGTGCACCCATGTTGTGCAGTGCCCAAGGAGGTCAGAAGAGGGTGTCAGGTCCCCAGGGGATTAGAGTTACAGACAGTTGTTAACCATCATGTGGGTGCTGGGAATTGAACCCTGGTTCTCTGCAGGAGCATCAAGTGCTCTTATGCACTGAGCCATCTCTCTAGCCCTACTGCATTTTCTTTAGCATATACCTCTATTGGTCATAGTTTGAGAAATAATTACATAAGAATATGATTTTTCTTTTGCTTTGCTTTTGAGACAAAGTGGCTCAGACTGTCTGCAAATTCATGATCCTCTTGCCTCTGTTTCCTAGTGCTGGGATTACAGACACCCGCTTAGAATTTTGAACTTTTTTTTTCTGGTACTGGAGATTGATCCCAGGGCATGGCACATGCTAGGCATGTGATTTACTACTGAGCTCTCTCCGTACTCCTCACTTAGAGTTTTGAGCTTTGATTTTTAAGAAACCGTTTTGTCTTACTTGATAATAATAGCTGAACAATCTATGGCTAATTTGCTTTATATTGGAGCCTAGCTGCATTAACAGAAGTAATGTTATTTAGTTTTATTGGGTATTTTTGACTACATGCAAGTGAACAAAGTTGATGAGTTTCATTGACAGAAGAAACACATTTAAAATTTCCCATCACTACCGGGCATGGTGGCGCACACCTGTAGTCCCAATACTTGGGAGGCAGAGGCAGGCGGATCTCTGTGAGTTCAAGGCCAGCCTGGTCTACATAGGGGGTTCCAGGAAAGCGGGGGGTACAGGGAGACCCTGTTTCAAAAAAAAAAAAAAAAAAAAAAAAAATCCAATCACTTTAGTGACTTGATAATTCTTAGACAACTCACACCACTCAGTGAAAGAGTTCTTGTATCTGTAAGTATATGTAAATTGGCTTCAGCTTTCCTTTAAAGTCTTAGTATCTATTTTCCTCATTTTTTCTGCTATTATTTTTCTAGGTGCATCCAAGTGTAAGGGGACGCTATAAGCTCACACTGTCACCACAGTAAAACACAGATTTGAAGGTGTGAGTGACTTGCCTTTCTTAATAACTTTTACATGAAAAGTCATCCACTTCTCCCAGACCTTCATATTTACTTCTAGTTGGTCAAATAGAGTTGCCAAATGAGATCAGGAGAAGCCCTCGCTTAATACCTTTAGCTTCCCACAAGTGTTCCATGTAGGGAATTCTCTGTCTACTATCTATGGACATTCATGTTCCAAAGAGAGGGGTTCCTGGCTTTACTCCCTGTTTAGGCTGCAGATAGACTAACAAACAACTTGAATTATCTTAACATTAGCAATATGTTCATTTCCAAGTATGCAGTTCCATATTTCACAGTTTGTTTTCCTCTTCCTAAACTTCTTGGTTATTTTAAAGGCACAGAGAGGAAAAAAAATAAATTTAGTGCTATCCGAATTCACTCTAGGTCTCTATGAAAAACTATGAATTTCAAATTTAAGTTCTTCGTTTTCTATTTTATTTCTCTCTCTCTTTCTCTCTCTCTCTCTCTCTCTCTCTCTCTCTCTCTCTCTCGCTCTCTCTCTCTCTCTCGCTCTGTGTGTGTGTTTGCAGGTGTATGTCTATGTATGTGCAGATGCATGTGGAGGCCAGAGATCATCCTTTTGTGTTGTTTCTCAGGTGCTGTCCAACCTGTTTTTTGAGACTGGGTCTCTCACTGGCCTGGGACTTGGCGAGCAGGCTAGTCTGGCCAGCAAGCCCCAGGGATCTGCCTGTCTCCACCTCTGCAGAGCTGGAATTACAAGCATGTACCAGTATACCAGAGCTTTTTTACAGGGGTTTTGGGGCTTGAACTCCTGGGCCTCAAGCTTATGTGGCAAGCAGTTTCCAGGCTGAGCCATCTCCCCAGCACTTGCGACCTCTTTTAACCTCTCCTGAAGGGTTTCTGAAGTGGAAAATTCTAAGTGGCAGCATAAAAGCTTAGAAGCAATCCTTTGAAGTTGTAGCATGACTTTGTAGCAGTCAAATGTTGCGGGCTCTTGCAGACGTTTCTGTTGACTGATTTGGCTGTGTTTCTAGGGACGCTTCTTTAATGGCCATGCGGAGGCGCATCAATGGCTTGAGTCCAGAAGAGATCCGGGCCCTTTCCAAGGAGGAGCTCCAGATGCCCGTTACCAAAGGGGACTTTGAGTTGGCTCTTAAGAAAATTGCCAAGTCTGTCTCTGCTGCAGACTTGGAGAAGTACGAAAAGTGGATGGTTGAATTTGGATCTGCTTGAGATTTTGTCAACACTTTCATTTCTGGTATTTTTGTTTATAAAATGTGAAGAAATTCTTGCAACGTTAAAAAAAAAAAGACTGGAATATTTCATCAGAGAAATTGTCACTTAAAGGCCAAAACAAAACAAAAAGTGTCTAAAACCTACAAAGATAGGAAATGTAGTTGAGAAGTGAGAAAGGCTTACATTGAATCTGCTAGTCTCCCTCACTGGCTTTGTGCTGATAAGCCACATACTTGTGCGTTAATATCGTACACCCAGTGTTATTGGTGTGTCAGGAAGGCTGAGGAAGCAGTGGGGAAGCAGTGAGGACACAGTGGTGTACTGTTTGAGGAACTTGTTTACAAAGTATTTGGAAAGATTTTTTCACTTGCGTTTATTGTCCCCCGCCCCTCAGTTCTTTGCTTGGTGAACATGAAGGACACAGAACACACACACACACACACACACACACACACACACCTATACACACACACACACACACACACACACACACCTATACACACACACACCTATACACACACACACGTTTTTAAAAGAGAATTGGGTTTTGTCAAACTAATTGTCATTTTGAGATGAATGATAGTAAATTATGAAGGAAATAATTTTAAATATGTATAACGTGTAGTTACAATTCAACTCCTCTTTCTTTCCTCCATCTATTCTGCTGTTAGCTGTTTATTTCTTGAGCTATTTTAAGGACTATCCTATAATCTGTGTTTTTAAAATCATTTACCAACTTTTTTCTCTGGTTTATAGTATTTTTTGCCAGTGCTTCTCATGTTTCATGTTGGAAAGATGGACAGACTCTTATTCCATTAGAAATACCACTTCATTCTGCACTTCTGAATTTCTTTTCACTTTTCTTTCAGTGTGTTCAAACCAACATAGCTATTATTTTTCTGTTCTAACACTGTTTGATTTTTGTTGAGTTTAATTTTAGTACTTAAGATAAATACTTTGACATCCTAGACAAGTCTAGGCTCCATGGTTAATGTGAAACAACAAAATCTTTATAGTTTTCCATACATCTTATTAACAAAATACTACTATGCACAGTGAATGATGTTCATTTTAAAAATGTCAATATGTCCTTATAAATTAAGAACTGGTACCCACAGTGAGATTAGAATAAAAATCTGACATGCTCATTAGACATGGACTTAGGCAATAGAAAGGAGCCCCAAAAAAGGTAAATGGCCCGATTTTGGTCAGAAGTAGAGTATCTTGGTGTTTGTTCTTTGTAATTAATCTCATTTGGATTATTAGGTAATCAATGTCTTAATAGACAACCTAAAAATTTGTATATGATATCCTGAATTCTTAATTTTTAAGCCTACTGGTTTTAAGCTGTACATATGTGTGTGCGTGCGCGCACACACACACACACATATATGCACTTCAAAACTCTTAGTATATTGCTTAAGATAATTTTTCTTACTAAGATCTATAAATGCATTACGTTGTTTTCAGGTAACATAAGTCTGACTCTGTTTAAACCCCATTATTCATCTGTTTGCTATAAAATGCCCTCTTCTGAGAACACAGATCATAAAATTTCAAATCGTGAGCCATAATTTTATTGTAATGGGATTCATTCTTCTTGAAAAATTGAAATGAGGGGCTTTTCCTTTTCTCCATGAACTTTCATTTACTAATTTATTTTGAATCATGGTTTTACTATGTTACTCATGCTGGTCTTGAACTCCTGGGCTCAAGTGATCTGCCTGCCTTTGCTTCCGGAGTTCCTGGGACTCCAGGTACCATACCTAGCTTCCTTTATGAACTTTAATAAATCATGTGGGAAGCTAAAGCAGGAGAATCATCAATTTGAGGCTAGCCTGGGTAAAATCACAAGACCCTTTCTCAAAAAAAAAAAAAAAAAAAAAAAAAAAAAAAAAAAAAAGGAAGGAAGGAAGGAAGGAACACCAAAAAAAAAAAAAAGAAAGAAAGAAAGAAAAAGGAAAGGAAATAATCCCACTAAAATTATCTTGCAAACCAGTTCCATTTAGTAGGGTTGTACTTCTGAGAACATCTCTATAACATTTTAACTGGTTGGTCGACCTTTTCTGGATTTCTGCTTTATTTATCGGAACTCCTCATGGATAATGGTATGGTAATTGTGATTCTTTATTACCAGCGAGGCAGTATTTTATAGCACACCCTTCCCGGCAGCTTATCTTTGTGGGCATTTGTCCCTCCTTTCTCATTTTGCTCTGCCAAATGAAAAGGCATTGCACACCTCAAACCCTTTAAAGGATCTTGAAGAGACCCTCTCAGACGTCCCATCTGACCTTGTACATTGTTTATATACTGTCCTTATTGCAAGAGACATGTGCTGCCTTATCCAGAATGGGAATGTTTGTTTTGCTTTTCTGTGTGGTAGAGCAGATGTGTTAGCAAAGTAGAATGGTTGGTGCCTCTAATTCCTCTGGAAACATGAGCATTTGGGTGCTGCAACACAATGGCTTTCTGACTGGCCTGTGTGTAATTCTGCTTTGCAGGTTCTCCATCAGATTGTCCCTTCATGGGCAGACCTGTCAGTTTCTTTCTGTGTGTAACACATTGGGTGGGAGCTGTGTGGCTTGCAAAGCTGGGCCAGACAGTGAAGTTCTGCCTTCACATTTCCTTTAATGACTCCTTTTAGCTCCTGACTTCCATTGCTAAAGCAAGAGTTTAGATCATAAATGGAAAGGCACAGTAATCTCGGTGTGTTGGGTAGAGAATATATAAATTTCCCCTTCTTCTTTGCTCTTTAATTGATTTAAAAATTAGAAGTGTTTAAGCAGTATAAAGCTATTACAGATCTATTTTTAAAGCACCGTTTTTATCATGTTCCATGCCACAGTTACATGTAATTATGATAAACAAGTATGCATATAGCATGTTTGCTGTAAATGTTTCACTTCCATAATTATTTTTAAAAGAAATTAATATTGGTGAAATGTGCCAGACAGGCAGCTCTTTAAGGAGAAAACGTGCTAACATCACAGCTTTCACTTTCAGCTCAATAGCAGTTTGACCATTCCACAGTGATCTAACACCCTTTAAGCTCTGGCCCGTCTCCAGAAACAGCCAGACATTGTACGGGGGAACTGTGCTGAAGGTCAGCAATCTGACTAGGGCCTCATTTGAACTCTCTAGATTGTAGCTTTAGTGATACAATTATTTACCCTTTGGATATCTCAAAAAAAAAAAAAAAAAAAGGATGAAATTACTACTTAGAAAGAAGCCAGCAGGTATTTGGAGAATCTTACAGGAATAGCCATAGAGAAAGGTATATGTGCAGGCTGAATTTACAAAATGTTATGCTTTTACTTTTCTGTATGGCGTATGACTGTGGGGCATGAAATTATTGATCTCTTTAGGTTTGGGGTAGCCTGAGTTCACTCAATTTCCTTCTTGGATATGCTGCTGAGTATGTTCTGAGAATCAAAAGACAGTAACCAGTCTGCTTCTTGCCCAGCCTGAGCTAAGTGCAGAGCTAGCAATGTGTATGGTGGGTGTGACTCAGCTCCTACAGTGCTGTTTTAGTCCAGTTTCTTTTCATAACAGTACATTTCCACTTTTTATGTTATTAAATCTAAATCACATCAGGATATGTCCTATGTGTTAGGAATAAAATGTTAAGGATGACTTTTGGCCTTTTCTAAGAAAAGGTCATTTATGTATGAGGAAAAAAAAACATGAATATTATTATTTTTTGTATCTTTGTTTTTGTAGTTAATGTTTTGAATGTATAATAGCTTTAATTTGTGGGCACATAATATTTATATATTTTTTTCTGTCACAACAGAAAAAATTAGGAAAAAGTTGAAGGACATGTTAGGGGGATAAAAATATATAAACCTCAAATGTTTAACTCTCATTTTCACTAATTATTTTTGCAGTTTTTTTACTCTGTTGTAATTACTACAGGTTTACTTATTTATACTTTTAATTTAGGTTTTTCATACTTTTTATTTAATTTTTGGTCATTTGTTTTTAATATTGTTTCTTAATGTGGAAACTGAGTATTTAAAAATCAAAGTTGTATGATAATATATTTTTACATACCTTAACATTAGTAATTCTTTGAATTTTTATTCATTTTTTTTTTGACTCTGGAAAGAAACTCTAGTTTTCATGGTATCTCTCAACTTCAGGTACCTTGTTAATAAAAACAGGACATACATTAGGATAATGTCATAAAGTTATTTTTGTTTTGTTTTTCCTCAATTTCCTGAGAAAATAAAAATAAAACCTGAATCTTGGCTTGTCACTAGCAGTATAGGATTGGGACATTTGGCACCACAGATAGGAATTAATAGAGAGAAACCTCCTGCCTTGAAGGAGCTGTGGTTGGTGCTCACACTTAGAACTGGCATGCACTTTCCCTGCACATGCTGAGCTGCGTGAGCTTTTCTCTTCGCAAGCCCAGGCGAGCATGCATCATTCTCAGAGTCTACCTCAGCTGCCCATGCTTTGTTTCAGGCATTCAGTTTTCATCTCTGTATATTTGTTTCTTTTTATTTATTTTTTCCTTTTGAGGCAGTGTCTCCTTATATCCCCAGCTATCCTGGAACTTACCAGGTAGACCACACTGGCTTCAGTCTCATAGAGATGACATCTCACAGGGATCACAGGCAGCACCGCCATGCCAGGCATGTGTTCATGCACTTCTTTTCTGCTCTTATCGCTTCCTGTTAGCTTTTTAAATTTAGACTTGAATTTTTTAAAGGTATTTTGCCATTCTTGTTCTGGCAAAGCCAGATACTATGTGAGCAAGCCTCTGTGAAGTGGGGGGCACTTCTCCCCTTTGTGTGGCCAGCTTCTTTGTTGGAAGGTATTTCATTCTAAGGAGCAGGTTCGGACCTAACAACATCCCGTTGTTTTGAACTTTGTAAATATGAATCAGTGAGATGACATTAAACATTTTGGAGCTGAGCTAGTCCCATGTCTATTCTCTGAGAACCTTAGTACTTTATGAAAGCACATACAAGTGGGCAGATGTCTGTTCTGTGTGGTGGTGTGGCAGCTGGAGTTGCCTTCAGCTACCTCTGCACACAGTTTACAGACATCACTACCTGCCACTGTGGCTTGTCAATGCGCCACTAAAATTTGGTTCCAGTGTTTGTCACCCAGTATTTGAACCTAACTTAAAGAAAAAGTTGTTTCCAAATTGTATTTGCTAAAAATGTTTTCCCTTATATGTTATGCTGCTGTTTGCTAGTCCTGAGCCTTGTTTGTAAGTTGTAATTTGGTAATAAATTCCTAGAGAGTAGACTGTTGGTGTTTTATTTATGTTCAGTTTCAATATATAGTAGCTGCTGTGCTTCTTGCTACCACAGGGAGCCACAAACCCCTCACTAGCAGGCAGTGACTTCATTCAGATTTTTGTTTCTCATAAAATTACATCATAAACTTGATACCTTGTTTTCTGTACATTCTAATAATAGTTTTAAGGTTGATGCAGGTAACATGTAAGTTTTTAATTAATTGTCTTAATAACATTTGTTTAGCATTATTGTCAAATGGATGTCCTGTATGGTGAATTTCCCAGATCATTGAGTTTTATTTTATGATGCTTCCAAAGCTGCTGCTTTATTTTCTAGACCCGTTTTTAGGAAAACATGAGGAAAAATTACCAAGTTCCCATGTACTTCCTCATCAACCCCCACTTCTCCTTTATTGGCATGCTGCATTGGTGTGGACTTGTGTTCCCTGGAGGAGCTGATAGTGAGTCATTATTGGGAGAGTCCATAGTTTGCAGTAGGCTTCAGTCTGTGTTTTACAGTATTGTGGATTTTGGCAAGAGCATGATGTCATGTGTCTAACATAACTGTTTCATAGACAGTAGTTTCACTGCTTCACGAATCCCATGCTTTGCCTGTTCATTTTCCCACCTCCTCCCAGACCCTGGCAACCACTGATCTTTTGACTATCTCCATAGTTTTGCCTTTTCCGGAATGTAGAATAGTTGGAACCATAGAGGATGTAGCCTTTCAGACTGCTCTGCATTATTCATGAAGCAAATACATTTACCCTTCTCCGTTTTTGTGGCTCCATAGCTCATTTCTCCTCAGCACTGCACACCACTCCATTGTATGGATGTACCACACTTTGCTTAGGCCTCCACCTACTAAAAGATGACTTGGCTGCTTCTGAACTTCAGCGATTATGCACAAAGCTGCTGTTTCTGTGTGCATATAAATTTTCACATTCATTTGAGTAAATATTTCAGTCTATCCCTGGAACATGGTAAGAATATTTCACTTTTATAAGAAACTACAAAGTTGTCCTGTGTGGCCCAGTCAGCCTTTGTTTGTACCGTGGTGTATGAGAGTCCCTTGGCTCCAAATTCTTACCAGTACTTGGTGGTGGTTTGGATTTTACCTTTCTAGGTGGTCTGTAATTGTTTTAATTTGCTGTCCCTAGTGACAAATAATGTTAGGCATCTTTTCATATTAGTTAGAGGTGATTAAAGTCTTGCTGTGTCACACTTGTGCCCTGGGTTCCTAAATGAAAATTTAAAGTTACCCTTTGTGGTTCAGAATTATGGGTATCTCTTTGGCACTTACTTTTTTAATATTTCTTCCAACCTGTGTCAAGCTAATG